CATGTCGTGGGGCCAGCGGGTGTGGTGGCGTTTAAGGCACTGGACTCCTACATGGTAGACCATGGTTCAAGTCTGGACCTAGCAGCTTGAAAATCATGCCAGGCACATATGTGTCTGTGTGTGCCCCAAATCCCGAAAGGAGAAGGGAGGAGAAGGGATTGTATTGTGGTGGGGCCATCCCCCCTGCGGAGTGATTTCTCATCTTCTATCTCACTTTCTCTCTCTGTCTCTCTGGTGTGTGCATGCACTCTATGGCAAAAACCTAAAAAACTAACAAAAACTCTACTTCTAAATCCTTTCCCTCCTCAAGGATGTGTGCACTCATGAGAGAGAGAGAGAGAGAGAGAAAGCACCCTCCAACACATAGTTATACCACAATGCTTTGTCTCCCATTTCTCCTTTCTGTGGATTTTGGGCAAACATCGTACCTGTGCCTGGCTGGGATTTGAACTGCAGTTGGCCATGTGGGCTCTGACTCCCTATGCACAGTCCTTAACCCCACTGCTCTACAGAGCCAGCCCTGTTCTAATTTTTACGTTCATAAACTATGTTCAATTTGCATAGAACTTTTGCATACACGATCAATGTTTCCCTATTGCCCAAGGTCCAAAGTCTAGTGGAATTTCTGCCCTTCAGCCTGCCTTCCCCCTAGGCTCTTGTCACTCCCCCTACAAACCTCTGTTCCAGCCCGTGCTGACCACTCACTGCTTTCAACTGGCCATGTGATTTCCTGTCTCTCACCATCCCTTTTTGTTAAGCTCTGTCTTCTATATGGTTTTCCTGTGACACCTGGGGAATTCTTGCCCATCGTTAGAAACTTAGGTCAGGGAACCAGCAGTTAGCGTAATGGCTATGTCGCTGGGCTCCCACATAGTCGACTGCAGTTCGCATCCCGGACCCGGTGGCTTAAAACTCATGCTGGGCGCGTGTGCGTGCATGCCCAAGATCCCGAGAGGAGAATGGAGGAGAAGGGATTGCTGCGTGACCATCCCCCCTGGGGGGTGATTTCTCGCTTTCTGTCTCTATGTCTCTCTCTGTCTGTCTGGCAAGCGCACATGTCCTATAGTGAAAAAATCTCTCCCCCCGCCCCCCCAAAAAAAGAAACTTAGGTCAAATGTCACCTCCTCTGTGAGGACTTCCTGGATCAATCTCTCTCATTGATGAACCCTGGAACACATGCTTAAACCTTTTCAAGGCTACCTTCTTAGATGGCTCTTACCAACACGGAAACCAAACGAGAAGATCACAAGCATTAGTTAAAATGCTGGGAAATTGGAACCCTTGTGCACTGCTGGTAAGAACGTAAAGTGGTGCAGCTACTGTGAAAATTATGGCAGCTCCTCAAAAAATTAAACACAGAGTTACCATATGATTCGGCAATTCCGCTTCTGGGCATATACCCAAAAGAACTCAAAGCAGGGGCTTAAGCAGATATGTGTACACCCATGTTCATAGCAATATTATTTGCAGTAGCCAGAAAGTGGAAGCAATTCAAGTGTCCATCAACAGCTAAATTGATAAACACAATCTGGTATATACATACAATGGAATATCATTCGGCCTTAAAAAAGGAGGGCCAGCTGGCGGCATGGTGGTTAAGGCAGCTGGATCCCGCATGGCCAAATGTGTGGTTCAAGTTCCCAACCTGGCAGCTTGGAAAACAGGCAGGGTACATGTGTGTGCCCCAAATCTCTAAAGAACAGAGGAGAAGAGATTGTGGTATGGCCATCGCCCCAACCCTGAGGCTGGCGGTACTTCCTAATTTTCTCTCTGTCTCTGACCCACTCCCACAAAGGCATGCACGCAGTAACAAAATTTAAAAAAAAGAAAAAAGAAAGAAAGAAAGGAAGGAAATTTTGATACCTGCTATAATAGGAACAAACCCTGAGGATGCCACGCTAAGAGAAAGAAGTCAAACACAGAAGGACAAACAGTGCAGGAGTCCACTTACCTGAGGTACCTAACTAGTCAAATTCATAAAACCAGCCGAATGGAGATGACCAGGGGCTAGAGAGAGGGGGAACAGGAGCTGGTGGTTCACAGGTGCCGTGTTTCAGCTTTATAAGATGAGGAGTTCGGGAGCAGGGTGGTGGTGATGGTGGCACAGTGATGTGAATATACTTAATGCCACTGAGCTAGATATTTACAAATGATTAAAATGGCATTTTTGTATGTATATTTCACATATGTGTGGGGATATACACACACACACACACATATATATATATAAACTGTTTTCCACCATCTTAATTTTTTTTTCCTTTGCTAGAGGGTGTGTGTGTTCACTGGAGAGATACAGAAAGAGAAAAAGTACCCCTTGTGGGGCCAGCAGGTGGTGTGGTGGTTAAAGGCGCTGGATTCCCACATGGCCAACTGCAGTTCAAGTCCTGGACCTGGTGGCTTGTTTTCTTACTCTCTCTTTCTCTCTCTGGTCAAATTAAAAAATAATAATGACAAATGTAATTAAATTAATAAATAATTAAAAAAAAGAAAAAAAAAAAAGTAGCCCTCATGGGATGTGGTCATACCACAATCCCTTCTCCATCTCTCTCTTCTCTTGGATTTTGGTTCCGCACACATGCTCATGTATCTCACACACCCAGTCTGTTTCTGAAGCTGTTGGGTCCAGGATTTGAACTGTGTAGTCAGCCATGTGGGTTCCAGCTGTTTTACCCACCATGCCTCCATCTTTCCATTGATCTATAGCTATATCTTCTCAAGGCCCTTAGAGCCGACCTGTGTTAAGGTTGGTTGTCTGGCACCTCCGTGTGCTGAGGGCTACATCGCAGGTCCTGGGAATTCCCATGCCCATCACAGTCCTTGGCACTGGCTGGTGCTGAGTCAGTGTTTGTTGCCACAAAAGGAAGTGCAAAGCAGATGGTGGGAGTGGGTGCAGGACTCAGGCTGGCTCACGTACCGTCTCTCTTCCAACATATCCGATTTTTGC